CAAATAATCACTTTATTAATTATCTTGTAAGGCTAATTTGCTCGAAATTCAATCAAGGGAAGATCCAGTAAAAATTGTATGAGACATAAAATCAACAGCACACACGGATAAATCAAGTATAGAAACTGCAGCAAAAAGAACAAAACGTAAAGAAGCTCTTTGTGATCACAGAACAATGAGATCTTAGCGAGTAGATACAAAACAAAAGAGGGTAGAACTTGTTAGCAGTTGCATTAATTGGCCCGAGTTCTTTTCGCGGCAACCGAAGGCTGTTGCTGTTTAGCTTCTTGGATCTACAAAAAGCTCAACTTCCTCAGAGGGCATTCCAAGAGCTTTCAATGTATGCTCAAATCAGCTTACCCGTTTCTTCTTCAACCTCGCTGCCAAGTTTGGGAAGCATATCCGTAGCACTTGTGTCCATGCTTTTCTTATTATTTCATCACTAAAACACTACTTTCGATTTACGTTCATCATTGGCCAATGAGAAAACTCACTCATGCTCTAGCACCTCTACAGATCCAGTTCGGTGCTTGAGATACAGATGTTGACTTATGGAAGATCGACTGTTACTCCCGTATCCACATCGACTACATTCAAATTGTTTGATGATGTAATGCGCTTTAGCATGCGTAACGAGATTTGGCAAATCATCAAAGTCAAGAAATCGATTGCAGAGCTGAAACGCGTGAACAATTATATAGAGGGATGGGGAAAAATGGCGAAGCATTCAAAGGGGGAAGGGGAAAGGCCTTCTCAAGACAAGTTCAAAAATTAAAAGGCGAATTTGAAAACAACAAAAGGATCAGCGTCATAATTTTACTTAATATTACTAAGAACTATTAATTTATCGAAACGTAATCAAATTTGTAAATGAAATAGTCAACCAAGAAAAGACGTGGCTTAGCATTGCCCGGGCCACGCCCTTTCTACCAATTTTCTTCCACTCCTCTCGAAAAAAAATTTTTTGAGCTCAGGTGGTGCATTGAATGCATAAGCATGCTAGCATTTTTAAGGCTACTCTTTTTTCTCCTCTTCAGACAATGTTTAAGACGCGGATTTACTGAGACTTCGCTATCTCTAGTATGACTGAGGATATCTGGACAAAGGTAAACCGCCACAACTTACCCGACACGACAGTTGAGCGGAGTTGTCATCGTGATCGAAGTCAGATACCTCCATATCACTATTCTGGATTGAACCTTCTTCTTTTGTGTATATCTGACCGTTAGACAATCGAATATCGCCTTTCGGTGGGTTTAGCCGTAAAGTAGTAAATGCTAGAAGGCTTCAAATCAAAATAACATTAAGTAGTTATGTAAGACACTACCTGCAGCTGCTGGAAAATATGCAATGATTAAGTCATGATAGTTCGGTTTTGGTACAACGGCAAGGTTCTTCCCTGCTGGAACATCTGCATGCTCCGTTGACAGATGTTTGTTTACAGTCCACTGCAAATAAAGGTCTACACTCACTTTAAAGACAACTGTTTGACTAGGAAGGAATCGTGATAGCCAAAAGTGAGCAGAAGATAACCAAAAAATTCCTTATTTAAAAAAATGGAAATAAGGAAGTCAAGATCTCACCTGATCCACATTTTCATACCCACAGACCAGACAAATGCAGCATTCCAAACACTCCGTATTGTGAACTGTCTTCAGGTGGTTTTCTAGCAGTATGAGCTGAAATGAAAGAGAATTAGAATCTATGACAATTCCACCTCAAGATTACCTTATTATTAGTCAGAGAGAACAGGAAAAGAAAGCGAGACATTTGAGACAAAGATACTGGTCCAAAAACAAATTCATAAGAAGGAAAATTCATCGCTGGTATCAACTGCTGCGCAGGGTTCAAGTACAAAGGAGAATGTAGCCGCTTAGACGCACAGAGATGTTAGGCTTTTTGCCTAGGTGCCACCAATCTGAATTTACAACCGCCTAGATGTGATTCCAACCTACCCTTTGCTATTTCGGGTCATGCAAAAATGATCTAGAAAGCAGCCTGTTAGTTCGTCCAAACTTTATGATATGCTGAAATTACAGTGGCGCAGCAACTGGATTCATTAGATACACATGTTAAGATAGTCGGTTTCGTTAAACACACAAGTTGTTTTAGTCCAGTATAGTCTCTTTTTGAAGCCTGAAACTGCACAACCACACCCAGAGATCCTCGCCACGTCTGCAACAGCGGAAATCGCATCTGCCAGGTTTCAATCGCGGATTGTCAGGAAAGATAAGAAAATAAGGTGGAAGAAGGCGTACAGCAAGGTAAAATTAGTCAGGCTGGCTGATACACGGTAAAATACCAAAATCCCGCTGTCACGAATGTAGCGCGGTTCTCACGCAGAGCAGTTGCGTAATCTCATGATTCATGCTAACAAATAACAGTCTGCATAAGTTGTTTCACATGTATGATGTACCTAGTAGATGAAATAAGTATGTTAAAAGTACCAAACCTACCAACACTATTCCGTCATCCTCCGGTGATTCCGGACCGACGAATACATCACTACATTCCCTACATTTATAGTCTTCTCCATCTACAGAACTCGTATTGTCGTCAGGAGCCGCATTTCTCTTCTGAATTAAGATAAAAAGACAAGTAAAGTAAGCCAATTGCGGCGTCTTAAAACTAAAGTACATTGGAGTTAAAATCCTTGGGACAAACCTTTGCCTCTTCACTGGCGAGATAATGCGCAAAACATTTTTGCACCAGATAATCCCAAAGTTTGATATTAGCAGGTGTACCATTATCAATGACTCCACCTTCGCTATCTTGATGTAAAGCGATCATATGAGCTCGTATCTATACAGAGAACGTTCTTTTTTCTATGATGCCAAATTTCAAAGATCTTACCCTAGCATGTTCATTATGTTGAAAAGCGCAATGGGCACAAGAGTACTTTTTGATCACGGAATGTCGACGAGCATGATTTTTAAGATTTGTAAATCTGAATATGCAAATGAAAAAGCCAGTCATCCGTGCAAATGGAATTTTTTTGAGCGTAACAGCTCCTTAGATATCATCAGGTTCTCTCTGTTCAGTATTAAATGTTGAAGATCA